TTAAGATGGTCATGTGCATTCGTGTTTTAAAAATATAAATTAAAAATTATTTAATATTTAAATTAATAATTTTTATTATTATAACTTATTAAAAACTTTTAAAGTTCTTACCTTACTGTAGTAGCATCTGCCGATAATGGCTAAAAAATTCATTCTCTATTATTATGCAGTATTATAAAATCATAAAAATAACAGTAAAAAAAATTTAATTATATTTTATATAATAAACTTTATTTATGTTTGGTTAAGACAAAATAATTTGACATTTTCAAATTTTCTGTTTAAAATACTATAAATTTTTCTTTTAAATTTTTTTCAAAATTATATAATTTTTGTAATGCAAACAATATTATACCTGATGCATTTGAATAGATACTCCATCTACTAAGTATCCTAATTCACCATCTGTTTGAATAAATGCTATAAAATAAAATAAAAATGTTTTTATTTACAAGTAAAAGCAAATTTTAAATCATTATATAAATTGTATTTACAAAAACTTTTATAAAAATTAAAAGCTTAAACTGTACATAATTTACAAGAACACAATAAAATCAATATTACATTAAAATGTTTAGGAAATATCTAATAATGATATAACAGGTGTATTAATTTGAAATATATTAGGCATCAGGTATGACTAAAAATATTAGTCAATAGAAATTCAAATAATATTTATATATATAATGTAATAGTTTGTTTGGTGATTTTAGTGTTTTTTTTTCCAACTAATGAAAAATCTATTTCTTGTATATTAGTGAAATAATTGAAGTACAGTACCTTTAAATCAACTTTTGTTGTAACCATATCCCAACCTTGTGCCTGCAGGCTCATGTGCACCTGCAAAGCTATTTATATCTACCCGCGGCAAAGTGTTAAAATAATGAAAAAAAAATTAAATCTTAAAAATAAAAAAAAAATAAAAAGTTACTTTAATATTTCAAAATCTTGCTAGATGTAGTGACAAATTTGCTAAATTGGCTACACTTGGGCTTAGTGTTACCACCCGTCCGGTTTTCACCCAGACAGTCCGGGAATTGTCTCACTGTCCAGGTGAACTATTAATTTTGTCTGGAAATTTCATATAAATTGTGAAATTACAATGAAACAAAGTTATTGCAAGTATCTTTACAAATTTACATTATTTTAACAACGTATTTTAACAATGCATTTTAACTCATCTGCAATTCTGCCATGTTAGTCTGTTTTGCATGTCTCCAATATCCAATAAAGTTGTCATCTGTATCTGTTCTTTCTTAATTTAGGTTACTTATGTTACTCCTATGCAAGTCCCTAGTCCCTAACCATAATTGATTTTAAACCAGCATGCACGTTATTCTTTGCATTGTAAAATGACATTGCGCATGCATCAGGAACTTCTGGCGTCCGGGTCAGCAATTTTGAAAAGGTGACAACACTACTTGGGCTACACTGATCCTGTCTAATTTAACATGTCTATTATAATCAAGTCTCCAACAACATCTCTATTCTATTAGTTGTATGGTATTAATTGTCACCGCATGCTGTCATTGTAAACTCATACTGTTGTCATCACATGCTATTGTTGTGTTGTTTTTTTTTTATCCCAAAATGAGTATTCCAATTTTTACCTAATATGCAACAGTGTTGTGTCAGTGGCAAGAAAACACAACGTTGAACATCATTAAAAAACCAATCACAGTTATTTTGAGGTTAGTTATCTGCCTAAATCCAAGTTAAGAAAAAGGAAAATTGAATCAACTAAAATCGGGATTATCTATACAGCAAGCATTTTTACCAGCCATGTAAATAAAAAGAAATGCCATTATTGCTTCCTTTAAAATTTCTCATTTGTTGGCAAAATGAAAAATACCATTTTTAGAAAGTGAACTAATTAAGGAAGCATTTCTCATTGGAGCCAATTTGTTATTTGAAGGATTTTCTAATAAGCGAGAAATTATTTCAACAACACAAGATTTGCTGTTATCAAACAATACAAGAAGAATCCAGGTGATTTCAACAGATTTACAAAGTCAGCTGAAAAATGATCTGAAAAAATGCAAGTATTTCTCTTTACAACTAGATGAGTCAACAGATACCGTATTTACTTACATATAGGACAAGGTATGACTTTAAAGATCAAAATAAAGAAAATTAGATTTATTAATACAATTCTAATTTTATACCAAATGCATGTAAATGTCCCGTACATTGTCCTGCAAAAATTACTGACATTTTAAACTTTAAGGAAAAATCCTATAAAATCGATAACATAATTTGTTCATGTAAAGCTGGACAATCAAGAACCTTTTTTGCCAATTCTTTACTGTCGAATCCATGTTCCGTCGATTACACTTAAGAGTTTCTACAAATTCTGATTTCCAAATAATCATCTGTTTTCACCTGGCAATAAATTTAAACTTATATCAGGCTCCTGTGTGATTTTGGAATATAATTCAAAAGCTTTGCTTTGCCTATTGCTATTCATCTTTACTCTTGACAATACACAAGAACGATTCAAACAACCCAGATAAAAAATCAATACTTTTGTTTTTAAACACCACAGGGTGAGCATCATGTAAAAAATGCGAATACATGGTTCACAAAAATTATTGCAAAAACACAAAAAATCCTTCACTTGCGAGTATAGGACATCCTAGGTTTTTGAACCAATGAAAAATGAATAAAAACCTCATCTTGTATGAGAGTAAATACGGTATATCAGATACAGTGCAATTGACAATAATGATAAGAATGGTATTCAGTGATTTAGTGTGAAAGAGGAACTATTAAAGTTACTATAAATGCAAGAGCAAACAAGGGGTGAAGATGTTTATAATCACTTTAAAAATTACTTAACAGAAATTAATATGCTTTTACACAAGTTATCGGCAATAATTTCTGATGGTGCACCAGCAATGATGGGCTGCAATAATGAATTCTGTTTTCCATTGCAAGAAAGATGAATCCTTTCTGAACTTTATATATTATCACTGCATCATACATCAAGAATCATTATGTACCATTATTACCCTTTGAACATGTTATGAATGCTGTTGTTAAAATAATTTAAAAAATTCAAGCAAAATTTATCAGACAGATTGTTAAAGCCCTTGTAGAAAAGGACAAATCTTACCAAGCTGACCTTATCTTACATACAGATATAAGATGGTTAAGTAAAGACAAAGCACTTGGCTGATTTTTTGATCTTTTGGAAGAGATAAAAAAATTCCTTATTTCAGAAGGTCAAATGTTTGAACAATTAGATAACATACAATGGTCGATGGACTTGGCTTTTTTAACTGACATATGTGAAAAATTAAACAGTTTAAACCTGGATCTCCAGGGAAAAAACATTTAGCTGAAATGATTAACTCTATAAAAGCATTCAAAGCTAAAATACAGTTTTGGGTAAATAATTTGTCAAAAAATTCTCTTGTACACTTTCCAAGGATGAAAAAAAGTGACTGGAGAAAATAATTTTGACCTAACATTTTTTATTAGTCATCTTAAAAAACTTTTGAAGACAGTTTGAAAGTAGATTCCAGCAATTTACCATTATCAAACCCATGGCTAATTTTTTACTACACAAGTAGACATTACAGAAACTGCTAAATCTATAGCAGAACTTAAAGAAGAAACATTGATAACTGAAGAAGTGATTTTAGATTTTCAAAATAACATCATATTAAAATCTCACAATACAGATGAAAACTTTTGGAATTTAGTTGATCATAAAAAGTATAATCTTTTGAAAAAAGGAGCCTTCAAATCAAATCCTGTTTTGGTACCACATATTTGTGTAAATCTTTATTTTCCACCATGAATATTATAAAATCAAAAATCAGATCTCAACTTACAGATGCCAACCTTGAAGATCATTTATGACTGGGATTATCATCTTACATTCCCAACTGTGAGAAATTAGCAAATGAAATGTAGTGTCAAAGATCGCACTAATTCTGCTTTTATAATAAATATATAATACGTTATAGTAAATATGTTACAAAATACATGTTATAATAAAAGACATAATATTTATTATTTTTTTAAAATCCGATTTGCACCAGCCACTATTTTTTGCAATCTCAATGTGCCCACACCACAAAAAGGTTGGGAACCCCTGTGCTAGATATATGATTAAAAGTGTTAGAAGGCCAAACCTTACGGCATAGCCTTTGAAAAGGAAGGATGAAGAGTTTTAAAGGAAGTGAGAAGAGGGAAGAAAAGTAAAGAATGATAGGAAGTGCTAGATAATGATTCAAACAGGAACAAAAATTTTTTTATTAAATAGTCTTTTTTTCAACATATTAAAATTAAATCTGCAATCATATTATTTCTTACATTATTCTTCTAATGCCACATGTCAAATCATATTCAAATATATGCATATTATTTTTTTTAAATATCAAATATTCACTAAACAATAGTATTGGATTAGAAAGCAATAATCTATCTTTGTCCAATGGATCATTAATGATCATACATTTTAATTTTTACACTGAACTTGCTAGGTTAAAATAAATACTATTACAGATTTTAAAGTCCCACAGAACATAAATGATAACTAATACTAAAGGCCAGTCTTTATTTATTAAAATTGTTTCATCAGCCGTAAGTATAGAATTAGCTATTGAATAGCAATTTTTCACAACAAAGTATCAAATTGTCATCATCTTTGTGGAAAGATTTACATGACAATCTGAATATAATTCTTAAATCATGATGTATATTGTTGTATTAGTCATTTTTTTAAATATAGAAGAATCTCTCCAAAAATAGGGGCTGACTTATACATTTTGGTACAAAATACTTTTCTATGATAATGGTAGCAATGGTAATAAAGTGAAAAAGTGCTTTATACCACAAATATTACATTCTACTGTCATTTGTCATATTATACATAGTTGTATTATCACAGTACTATTTTGAGAAACAATTTATAATATTCTATTGGATATATTGATTAATTGGTAAATATGTTCAAGACAAAAAGTTCAAGTTCAACAGAGTTTTCAAGATAATTTACTGAATATTTTTAGTGGTTCCTTAGTGTACTATACAGTAACACAAAAACATTTTTTTACAGTATCCATGACAGTAATAAGATAAAAACAACAAGCGACACCACTTACTAAAAATAAACAAAAATATAACAACTGTCTATTGGTAAATTATGGTTGTATGTCATATTTTGGACTAAGTTTAATCCCCTGGCATTTTTCTCCCTGTTGTATTTTATAATAATTCTTCACATAAACAATTAATATTAGGTTTTTAAAATTAATCTGCACTATCAGTAAAAGATGTAAATATACAGCAATAATTGTCTGAACATTAAAAAAAATAAAAAATACATAAAGTGATCACAATTTATAAGGTTTGATTTTGAATGATTTTAAAATACAATCTGACAATGTAATAGAATAAAAGTTTTATATATAATA